GTTTGGGGGACGTCAACCGGGCGCCCGGGGTTGGAGGTGGAGGGGGGTAGGCACCGGGGCTGAGTTGAGGGCTGCGTTCACGCGCAGAGCGGGGCCCCGCACCTCGGCAGCGCGGTCTGCGCGTCCCAACGCTCTAGGCCCCTTCGCTCTACCGCGCCGCTAGCCCGGCCCGCGCTGCCGGACCCCCGGAAATCAAAGGCGATTGCTGGGATAATAAAGGCCGGCCTAGGAAAAGACGCAGTCACCAAATACGCCCATGGTTTGCCAAAGTCCAGAGCGAGTGAGTGGTGCGCTCGGGGAACCCTACAACGCCACCAAGCCTTTTCGTAGACGCGCGCGCCTGTAGATCCCGAGACACAAATGCTGCTCTGGGACCCGGCATGGTTGACATCGCGGGGAACCCCACCCAGACACGGGAAACGTCACGCGAGCGCACGCGCGCACGCACACACACACACACACACACACACACACACACACACCACCCCCGTCCCCTGAGAGTCAGTCCCGCATCCCCAGCCACACACCCACTGCACCCACCCAGCGCGCGCAAATTCTGAAAACAACTGCACGCGTTTGCGGGCCCTCAAGAACCAGCCTGCTGGTTCTCCCCACACTCAGTGCAACTGGGGGGAGCTGGCACTCGGGAACACTCACAATGCACACTAGTGACCTGCCCTCTCGGGCCTCGGACTGGACTGTATTTCCAGCTGAACCCTGGGTCCCCTCCCCTAGCACCCCCGTGCCATCTCCACCCGACACAACTGCTTTCCAGACCGTCTGCTTTCCAGACAAGCCTCTCCCCCACACTCACAGGCGCACCCCGATCGCGACTTGCAACTGTTCCCAGACGGCTGGCCAAGCCCAGATCCCTCCACCTCAGAGTCGAGTGGGGGGTGAGGGGGGACCCGGAGCAGGAGCTCCTCCCCAGTCGCCCTCCGCGCCCGGGACTGGGTTTCCTGCGAGGTTTCCAGGGCCGCGCGCAGGCCCGAGCCTCCTCGCTGCCTGTCCCGTTTGGCGCGGCTCGAGGCTGGACACAATCCGTCCCCCATACAAAAGTGGCCAGGCAGGTTCCCGGCCGCCGCCAACGCTCCCGCTCCGGCTCGGCTCGGCTGCCAGCAGCAGAGCGAGAGGGACACAAGGGCAGGCAACACCCAGAACGGGAGGCAGAAGCGAACCACAGACCGGGGAGCCAAACTTTCTCTCATCCAAGGAGTTTCTGGTGATTTAAAACCCACATCCCCAGCTTCCGACCCCTGCATCACTCCCCTCTCTGGGCCGCGCGACCCGGCCCTTGGTTGCACAGGATTCTGAGCGACAACTGCTCGCTGGACCCACGTCCACCTCGCGGGCAGAGAAACGCGGCCTGGGCACCCTAATCTTGGCCATTCCTCTGGAGTGGAGAGTGGCAAACTTTAACCCCGCTCATCTCAACGCCCCAAATCGACCGGACACGGGGAGGAGGGTGAGCCACAGGAAGAAGAGACCATAGGCAATGGACAAGCAGAGCAGGACGCAGATTGAACGCGTACACAGATCACGGTTGGGGGACCGACAGATCGCAGGGCGACGACGCGCAGGCGGTTCGCTGCAGGCAGGAAGGGCCGCGGAACCTGGTGCTTCGTAACCAAAGAAGCCTGCGGGGGCCACCCAGGCCTGGCACCCGTGCACCGCGAGACAGGACGGCGACCCGGGCCGAACGGCTCCCACGCACCCTGCCCTCGGGGCTCCCGCCGAGCTCGCGCGCGTTCCGCGACGGGGGCAAATCCGCGCCCGGCACACGCGCCCCGCACCCGAGCCCGCGCGCCCCGCGCCCAGAGTCATCGTGGGATGGCATCTCGCAAATATTTATATTCTTCAGCGCCACGGCAGCCCGCGTCCACATTAGACGCTCTAATCCTGCCACTTTAAATAGATGAATTAATAAAGCAAACGAGCGGCTAATAAGCTGCCTGTCTTGCCTTTTTGAGGCGGGGGAAGGACTGGAAAGTGCGCCAAATTTGTTTGCAGTGGATCAAGGCGAGCCGCCTCTGCTTCACTTTCTTTATCTTAATTCCGACTTGAAAAGATATAATTATCTAGTTTGAACAGAGCTGCTATCAAATCCTTCTTTGGCCCAGGAAGGGGGGCATAGGAGTGGATTGCGGCTCTCTGAGCCGCGCGGTGCAGCCGGAGATAGCGCGTAATGAAGATGTGGAGGCCCGAGATACAAAGGGCATTAACCTCATTAGCATGAAACCTTTTCTTCTTACCATTGTGGGACCCTTTCAGCCGTCTAATCCCCCCTATTTTCAAAGCTTGGTTTGTAATAAAGCTTTTAGGTTTTTTTTCCCCCCAAAGCTAATAGTATTCTCTGATGATTTTATTGCTGTTACACTACATAGGACTTTTACCCCAAAAATCTTCATTGCCCTTCCCCCCCTTTTTTGGACTTAAAAAAAAAAGAGTAGTTTATGTCCCCGCATAAATCAATGGTTTTATAAAGTTGGTAAGGAAACGTTCTTTTTCTGGAAGAGGCTGTCTGAATTTTACCAGGTCGGTGTCTGAGTTGGAGGTAAGTTTGGCTAGGGAGGAAGAAAAAGCGAAACTTGTTTGAGGGAGAGTTGCAAAGCCTACCTAGTGACAGCAAGGACACCTATCTGTCACTGGGTCACACTGAGCAGCTCAAAGGGCCACTTGAGTTTCCAGGATCCCCTGGAGCAGCACCTGTGCCCTCAAGAGGCAAGCCTGAGTATCTTGGGGTGGCCCCACTCCCCAATATCTCCCTATAGCCAAGTCTTTCTCATACATGTTCCTAGAAGCCAAACAGGAGGGAAGCACCATGAATAACAACAGGACTGTCCAAAAAAAATTTAAAAAACAGAGATGGGAGAAAAGAGACAGAGATAAGGTATGGGTGAGTGAGGGGGCGGGGCGTGGACCAAGATGGAGTCTACTTTAGAAGAGAGAAGAGGAGAAAAAAAAAAAGAAAGAAAAATTTCCATAGTGCCCTATAGTTGCCACACGTGCACAGAATGTCTAATCTTAACTTTTCAAGGCAGGATGTTAACAAAGCTTGTATTTTTGCCCAGCATTGTAACTTGGCCTTATCACAGTGTAAAGGGTGGGGAGATTGTCCTAAATTATGTCCAGGCAGCCCCCCTGGATCTGTGGATTAAGAGATTAAAGGAGACCACTGGGCAAGGCCTCCTCTTTCCCCTTCATATTCCTGGTATGATAATTGCTTAAACTGATTTGCACTTTCACAAAAGCCTGCAGGACGCTTTGTAGCTCGAACTGAACAGACGAGGTTTCTCTATCAATGGAAATAAAACTGATTAATGCAGCCTATCAGGATAAGAAGCAAATGAAGCATGCAAAAACAACCTCGTACCCCCAGAAGGGAGAAGGGGGGGAACTAAGTTTCCTCCAAGACTAGTCACAACTTTTTCTTTAATGTTAAAATTCAGAGTTGAAGGTTTTTCCAAATGCTTGCCTTATAAGGTGGCTGAGGCCTCTGCTGTCTCATCACCTCCAGTAGAGTGAGGCCAGAGAGGGGAAGGAAAAAAAGGAAGGAAGGAAGGAAGGAAGGAAAGAAGGAAGGAAGGAAGGAAGGAAGGAAGGAAGAAGGGAAGGAGAGAAAGTAAGGGAAGAGGAAGGGAGACAGAAGGGAATGAAGGTGAGACGAAGCAAAGGTAAGACTCACACTTTGACGTCTGAATAAAAAATACTTAAAAGTGTCAGGATTCTGATTCTCCTAAGTGTTTTCCCTATCCTGGGAAAAAATTCTCAATGCAATACTCTGTCTAGAATTTTGAAATAAAAACTAGAGGTTAAAAGAAGCATGTTGAGCCTGAAACTCCAACCGAACTTCTTCAGGACGCCCTGCAATGGGCAAAGTTTTGGCTGGAGAGTTCCCTTCTTTTCCTTTTCTGAAAGATTTCCACTGTCCCAACCCTCTCTCTTTTCCTAACTCTAATAGAAATGCCCAAGGGTCCATCAGTCTCATGGCTCTCTCAGTTCAGACTGGGTTTCTTGAGCCCATTTCGGGGAGGATCACTCTTAAGTGATAAAGATACCTTTTCAAAAAAAACTTCACTTCAATTTCCCAAGACAACTACTCTGAGGGCATATTGATAAATCTTTATTGACAAAATATTGACATTGACATACTTCTTGGAAGTATATAGTGTGTTAGAATTCTAACAAATTAACACAAAACACAAAAATATTTACATTCTGGTATAGAAGACATTAAGGAAGCATTTGTCACTCTCTTTAGTAAGTCTATGATCTTGGAATAGAAACTCAGTGCTTGAAAACACGTTGCCCATGTCCTTGGCCACACTTAACACATCATCCCCGTTAACTACAGTCCGTCAGTTTCTGCAGTAGATTTAAAGTTTGGAATGACCTTGCCGGTGAATTGTTGAACTCAGTCAATATCTCCAACCAATAAAAGGAGAAATTTTATCTCATGGTTTTAGCCCCAGGATGTTAGGAAAGGGAATGTCCAAGAAAAACAATTAATTTAGGGTTTTTTTTTTCCAGCACAAGTCCTGATTCCTCCTGGGCACCCTCCCCCACCCCCAGCCCCCCTCCTGCTCCCCATTTCTCAGTATGAGGACCACTATGTGGAGCCCTACTTCACTTAGCTTTCACGATCACTTTGACGTCAGAAGGTATCAAAAAGTGTTTACAGACTGCACAGTTCTCGAAAAAAAAAAAAGAAATCCAAATAAAAGGCACACAGAACCTGTCTTTGAAAGGAAAAGAAAATTACGATTCATTTTCTGTCTTTCGACACCATTCACCCAACAACTGCTACATGCAATTCAAGTTTTTGAACAGGTGTGGGGTGGGGCTGGCTATGGAATTTCGATTGTTATTATCACTAATTACTTTTAAACATGGGTGGGGGGACACTGCAAAGTGCAAAGTAAAAAGTACTGTGCCTGGTTGGGTGTTCGAGTGTGTGTGCGTGTGCGTGTGTGTGCGTGTGTGCGTGTGTGATCATTATCAATTTTTTTTTTAGAAAAAAATCGGACTGCTATAAACGGAATGCCTGCCAACCATCTCGTCTCTCTGGTTTGGTGTTTGACTGACAGCTCCCCTTGTCAGAAAGCCTTCGGCCACATGAGGGTCTCTCTCTGCCTCTCTCTGTCTCTCTCTCTCTAGCTTGCTCTCTCGCTCACTCTTGCTCGCTCTCTTCTCACTCACTCTCTCGCTCTCTGCCTCCTCTCTCGCACTGCACTCACTCGCTCTCTGCCTCTTTAGACAAGGGTTGCGTTGATGAAGGAGCCGCCTCTGACCTCTGCCGTCTCAGTGCGCGCGGCCTCAGTTCGGGACTGCGTCCTCGCTGCCCTCCTGGTCCCCAGCTTCCGCCGCTGCTCTCACTCCCTCTCCCCTTCTCGGTGAACGTGTGTGCGGTTTGGTTTTGATTTGGAAGTTTGTTATTTTTGTTTCTCCTCCTCTCTCGATCTCTGTTTTGCTTCGTGTTGTCCGCATCTGTGGGGTTCCGTTTGTGGGTTTAATCATCTGAGGTCACATCTATTTCCTCGGGACTCGCCTGTTTGGTGGCGATCCTCCACCGGTTAATATGGTGTGTCCCTTTTTTCTTTTGTTGAGAATCTGAGCCTTCTTCTTCTAGCTTCTGTCTTTTGAACTTTGTCCTTCGGTTCTGAAACCATACTTTTACCTGTGGGCAAGAGGCAAACGGAGTGGTTAGTTCCTCCTTCATGCTCTACATCCTCTTCCTCCTTTGCCTGGTCCACACCGGATCTGAAACCTAGGTCACAGGGGCTGCCCTGTGACCACCCCTCAGTGGGAAGCATGGCACCTCTCCCCAGGCACTGCACCCTTCTGGCCCTGCCCACATCCCACTGTGAGCAAAAGCCTGGCAACAAACGAACGGGTACACACGACCCAAAATAATAAGTGTGGAGAAAATGCTCAAAGATATGTTGAGAAGCCTCTGACCCGGCCAGTTGTGGCAAAGACCTCCATGGGCTACCATCGCTTCTGCAGGCCCGAGTTCTTTCTATTTTCTGCTCTGTTTGGCAGCGTGACCTAAATATAGCGCCTCCTCTGCAGAGCCCGCCTGGGGAGGCAGGCCCGCATGCATGGCTTCTCCACCCAGGACGCCTGCAGGTGAAATGGAGCCAGTGAGACACAGGTGCTGGGAGGAAGACAGGGGGTGAGGTGGAGTGGGGGAGTTAGGGGGGCAGCGGCCTAGGGATCAACCCCAGCAGCTACCTTTTCAGCAGGGAAAGGGGTCTCAAAAGTGAAAGCTTCAGAACGGCGGTGGGATCAAAGGGAAGCGAGAAACTGGAGGAAGAGCGCTAAGAGGGAGAGAACCTGGTCCTCCGCCCTCCTAGTTCCCTTACTTCCTAGGTCTAACCAGCCCCGGCCAGACCTGGCCAGGCTCCTCTCTGGTCACTTCACTTCCTTCCAGGGAGGAGCTAGCAGGCAGGGCCTCCCCGCATCGTCTGCTAGAGGACTCTGGCGAAGGCAGAGAGAGGCAGGTCCCAGCTGCAATTCTGACCTACCCTTTGGGGCTAGCTGGGAGAGGGGTCCCTCTGCCCCAAGCAGGAGGTAAAACTGCTCCAAATTCCTACCAGGGAGATAAGGGTGACAGAAATGGAAGTGACCGCACCTCCCAGATCCTGGGGGCCTCAACTGTCCTGACAGCAACCCCCCCCCCACCCGAGACTCCTGGGGTCGGCTCCAATCCTCCCTTTGAGATGGCCTGCCCAGGTCCCGGCTTTCTCTCCCATTGCCCCAGTCCCCCAAAGTGCCCCATGAAAAAGCCGAGCTGGAACACACGGCTGAGTTTAATTTGCTTTGAGTTTGCTAATTGAGGGGGAGGACGGTTCATTTCTCCCCGGCGCTCGCCCAAGGCGCGCGTCGGTGCGCTCGGGGCTTGACACGCACACAAAGGCCCCAGGCAGCGTGGGCAGCGAGGCGGACAAAGACCGCCGCCTCGGCCATCCAGGAGAAATCAGCCGGGCCGCGCCTGCTAACGGGCCCCGCACCACAACCCGCGAGGCACTCGGCGGTTTTGTCCGAGGGGGACGTCTTAAAACAAAAGCCCTCGACCTCTTTGCGCCTCCCAGAAAAAGTGTTACAACTTAATCTGCCCGAAAGCGTTACAGTTCGCGGAGAACTCTGACCCCGCCCTGCGGCTCCACGTACAGTAGCATCAACTGTAGCCCTAAACCCCCTCCCCGCCCCGGGGCCGGCTGAGCCAGACCCGCCTCGGGACCCTGCAGCGCTCCCCGCTCTTGTCTCTCCCCACCCCACCCCCACCCCTGCCCCGCACCCCATTCCACCCCAAGAAGCGCCTCTGCACATCTCAGTGTCTCTGATAGAACGACGCACCCAGGTTGTCAGGCCTTCTCTGATCCCCTCGAGGGGAGTAACTGGAGCTGTCTGTGTAGACCAGGGTGGAGGGCGACAGAATTCGCCCTTAACCCACACCCAGTCCCTTGGTGCAGCCTGCAGCCTTCCACCCCAACGCAGGCGCGCGCGCGCGCACACACACACGACACCCCGCAGTGCTCTCCCTCTTTCTGGATTGCCACGGGGCAGCCAAACTCTCTGAGCAAGTCTCACAAAAAGTGCTGAAAGGTCCGAATCAGAAGTTGCAAATGGTCCCGGGCAGAAAGAATAGCTGAGCCCAGCCCTCCAGAACCAGGACGGGGCTGCCCTTACACTTCCAGGACTCCGCACCTGGAAACACATCCTGAAAAATACACCCGGAACCAGCTGCCTGGCTGGACGCCTAAGGCCCGCTCTGGGTGCCACGCTACTGTGCCGGCTGCTGGGGTCCAGAGCCCTGGCCCCGGGTCGCTGCTCCTAGTCCCGCTCACCTGAGTTTCTGTGAGGCTGAGACTGTGCGCCAGCTGCTTGCGCTCGGCGCCCACCACGTAGTGGTTCTTCTCGAAGGCGTGTTCCAGCCTCAGAAGCTGGGATGGGGAAAAGGCCGTTCGGATCCGCTTCGGCTTTCGGGCCAGAGCGTTGTGCAAAAGGAAGCTCTCGGGACTTGTGTCGTTCCCTGCGGGGGGGACACAGCAGAAGTCCCCGTTAGCTCAGGCCATCCGGGCAGCGCGCTTCTCCCGAGCCGGGCTGGCGAGGCTTGAGTGCGCTCCAGGCCTCCGCGTACCCGCTCGTATCAGTCCCGTCGGGGCCAAAGGCCCGCCCAAGGCGGTCGGCCAGGTTACGAATGCAGCCGCCAGGCCCCGACCACCAGCTAGTACCTGTGCCGCACCCAGAGCCCTTGCGATTCCGACCCTGGGGCTCCGTCCTCCGCGGACTCCGCTGCCAGGGCGCCTACCGGAGCCCCGCGCTGAGGAGGGGGCGGCAGAGGCCGCTGGGGATGGGGACCAGCACCCAGAGAAACGGGATTCTCTGCTTTCTCACCTCTCAGGGAACTTGGGCCCGGGAGGGAGAGGCGGGGGAATTGAGGGGTGGAGGTCAGGGGTAGAGGGGCGCTCTGTAGAGTTGTCCCGGGCACTTATTTTAAAATTGCCTTTCTGCTCCGGGAACGGGCTCTGCAAGGCTGTCTTTGCAGTCGTTCCGGGACCGGAATCTGGCCCAAGAGTGATTTCTCCCGGGGTGCGTGAGCTTCTGCAGCTGCCGCCTCGGTGGGTCAGGCAGTCCCGCTGCCCCGCTCCAGAGAACTGGGAGCCGCGAGCGGAGGGATCGAAACCCGGAGGTGCCTGCGCGCCGGCACCCAATGGAACCGCCCGCGACCCGGAAGATCCCGGTCTCCAGGCCCGGTGTGGGACCCCAGAGCGTGGCCCGCAGAGAAAGGGGAATGGAAGCCCCAAACTTTGCGGGCACAGGCACCGAGTTTGGAGCTCACTCGTTAGGAGTGAGAAATGAATTCTCCGCGAAACCCAAAGGAAAACAAACCAGGCGGGAACGGAGACAAATCTGACCCGGGAATAAGGGTGAAAGGTGGTTGGGGGTTTTGTTTTGTTTTATCTTAATTGTGGGGGGTAGGGGGGCATTTCCGCGTTTGAGCAGGAAAGCCAAGGGTTAAGCATCGGACAAGCAGCGGAGTATTGATCGGCTGCGGCGGGGCGGACCGAGGTCTCTTCCCGGTTCCGATCGCTAAACTCCCAAGGCGCCCCCTTTTCTGGAGTTTTAACTTTTCTCCCACCCCCACGCAGAGAAGAAAATAAACACGCAGTTGTTGCTGCTGCTGCTGTTGTTGTTGTTGTTTAATAGCAAGGAAATAACCCAGATCTTCCCCACTGCAGCCCGTCTCCCGGCCCAGTTCATTTGATTTTTTTTTTTACAACGACAGCAACAACAAAAAGCAAAAAGCAAAACAAAACCAGACTGAACCTGCCTTCCCGCCGCGGCTGCGCGGCGCCCGGTTTCAGACGCAGACCGTGCCGAGAGGAGCGAGAGCCCCGAGCCCCCGGACGCTGCCACCGGGCGGCTTCGCGCCTCTCCCGGGGCCGCAACAGAGGAAAGAAGCCAAAGACTCTGGTCCCGGGACACGAAGGTCCCCTCGCCGCCCAAAGAGGGTCGGACTCCAGGGAAGCGGCGGGTGTGCGAAGGGGGCGCCGAGTGAGCGGCGAACGGGATCCGACGCCGGGGAAGGCGAAGCTGGCAGCCGGTTCCTCCCGCGCGCGCCCCCCTGAGCCACGACGGGGTGGGCTTCGGGTAGCAGATGCCAGAGCCGGGGGCGGGAGGGTCCCGCGAGCTCCGAGCCTCCTTGGCGGCCGGCAAGCCGCCCAGATTGTCCCGACCAGCCGCGCCACGCAGAGCACTCGGGGACAACTTCTCTATGGAGCGGCGTCGCACTGCCCAGGGTCCAGAGGCCCGCAGGCCTGGCCCCCCTGCACCCCTTCGCCCCCGGCCCCATCGCCAGACCGTAGCTGGGGACCCGGGACCCAGTGCACGCGCGGCCCCCGAGGGAGGCCCCTCGTCACCCCGTTTCCGAACGAGCCAGCGAACCCCCGCGCAGGCCTAGCCGGGCGCGCGTCCCGAGCAGGCCAGGGGCAGTGCGGGATGCGGCGCGCCGCAGCCCCGCGACGTGGCACGTACCTTGGAAGCGGTGGCCCAGATATCGGTAGCGGTGGATGAGCCAGGGGTAGAAGGTGGACGGGTCCCGCTGCTGCGAGGCGAAGAGGGGGTGTGGCGAGTGCGAGGAGGGCAAGGGGTGGGCGGCCAGGGCGTGCGGCGGCGGCACCGGGTGCACCGGCACGGCGGGGTTGGGCGGGTGCGAGACCGCCTCGGCGAACACCAAGTCCGGGTTGGAGTAGACGCCCCTGCCGGCGGCGGCGGCGGCGGCGGCCGAGTGGAAGCCGTTGAGGAACGGGTTTATGGGGCTGGAGTTGGCGTAGCTGAGCGCCGCGGGTCGGATGGGGTCCTCGGAGCGCGAGGCGGGCAGGGGACTGTCCTTGGCCACCAGCGACTCGATGGTGAAGCAGCGCTTGGGCGCCGGCTGGAACATGGTGCGCCGAGGAGCGGGCGCCCGGGGCTCCCGGCTCCCGGCGACCGACCGCGGCGCGCTGCCTCCGCCGCCCGCTGCCCGCGCCGAGGACCGACGAGAATCGGGGACTGGTGGGGTGGGGGCGGGGTGGGGGGAGGAAAGGAAGAAAGAAAGGAAAGGAGAGGAAAAAGGAAAGGAGGGGGGAGGGGAAGGGAGCGGCGACGCCGAGGAGCCCGAGACTCTTGCACCAAACGCGCCCAACCTGGAGAGAGGGGGAAAAATCCTTCCAGAAGAATTTGCAGGCGTGGATCGGGGTATTTTTTTTTTTTGGCGTGATGGCGTGGGGTGGGGGGGTGGGGGGGATCGGAGTTAGAGGCTGGGAGGAGGGGGGGGAAGTTTCTCGGGGGAGGCCAAAAAAAAGTTTTCTCTCCTCTGCAAAAGGCGGGCAGGGCGCCCTAAGTCCAAGGACAATCCATGGAAGTGTTCGCTTCTTCACAAGTTGTGCAAACGATTTGTTAGTTCATGAGCCTAATTAGTGCGGGGATCACATAAACAGCTTCCTCCGAAGCCTGGTAAATGGCTTGATGATTGGTCGCTATTACTCGCCCTGAGGTGGAAGGGGGGAGACTCTTTAAAGTGCGTCAGAGGGAGGCGAGCGCCTGGGAACCCGGAGGCCTGGATCCGCGCCGAGAGTGGAACGGAGTCAGCGCCGCCGTCTCGGCCGAGCTTCCCGCCGCCCGCCCGCCCGCCCGCCCGCGCCGCGCGCCTCGTCCCCGCTCCCCGCCGCGCCCGCCGCCGCTTCTCCTCCTTCCTCGCCGCCTCCTCGTCCTGGCGTTTCTTCTTCTCTTCTTCGCCTCCTCCTCCTCCTCTTCCTCTTCTTCCGTCCCCTCCTCCCCCCCCCTCCTCCTCCTCCTTTCCCCCCACCTCCTCCCCCTCCGCCGCCTCCTCTTCCTCCACCACCACCAACACTCCCTCCAGGACACCCCTGTCCCCGCTGAGTCCCGGCCCCGCGCCGCCTCTGCAGCGGCCCCCCTGGTCCCCCAGCCGGCTACACCTGAGCCGCTAGGACAGACAGACGCGCCGGCTCGCAGATTCCTCGCGCGCCGCCGCCGCCGCTGCCGCCGCCGCAGCCGCAGACCCGCGAGGCCCGACGTCGGGGTTGCTGGGAGCCGCGCGAGGGTAAGCGGGCTGGGCTGGGTCGTGGACAGAACTAACGGAGTCCTGCGGCGCGGCCCGCGGCTTCCGAGGTGAGGAGGGGACCCGGGTGCTGGGGTGGGGGGGACTCCAACCGTGCCAAGCCTCGGGGTCCCAGGGTCCCAGCATTCCCGTGCGTTCGTTGGCCAATTGGCACGGGAGTCGACGGTCTCTGGCTGGGGCAGGGGGCTTCAACTCGTGCCCACCGGGGCTCTCGCCATTTCAATCTGGAAGGGTGCTCAGTTCCTTCCCCCCAAACTGTTCTTTTCTGTAATTTCTGGGGCGGGGGGCGACCGAAAGGGGGGTGTTGAGGTCAAGGGAGTAACGGATGTGGTGCAACTATTATCGGTCGGTTGTCGTTATTACTTTTATTGGTGGTGTCGTCGTTATTATCAGTGCTGTTATTGTTATTATTATTGCTATTATTATTCTGCCATCTGTCGTCCTAGGCGTGGGTTGCTATACAAACCCAGGGCTGGAAACTAGGAACGACAGACAGTTCGCGTCTCCGCTCCCGGACCGTGTCCGCATTTTCAAGCTCGCCTTCGGTTTTGGGATGATTTTAGGGCCGCGTTCCCTCATCCCCATTGGCTCACGCAGCGGCATAATTATGATCACATCCCAGGCTGCTGGCGCTGCTCTCTGTTTATTGGTGGTTAAGGGTCTATTATCTATTCATCAATCGCCTCTTTTTTTCCTGTCTTTTTTTTTTCTTTTTGCCAATTACATTCTTCTAAAGTGAAGTACCAGCAGGTATTTTACAGATTTACAATTAATGATTAAAAAAAAATCTGGTGTCCTTTAAATCTATTACTGTCGGCCCATGTCACTTCTCTTAAAGACCAAGAAATGCCTGTTTGGTGACTAGATTTTGTGAGACATAGGAAAAGTGGCGGGGGTCAGAGAAGCGAGTGGTCAAGGCCACCAGTTTGGTTATTGGGGGAGGAGGGCTCATGCTTCAGGCCATCGACTGAGCCTTCCCAACTCCCCACTTCCAGGCCCGAGTCTCCTCAGTTCCCCCTCTGATTTCACCTGGGTTTCTGCTCCTGTCCGTTTCCCAACCTCTCTATTTTCGGAATCTGGTTGTCAGGGTTTGGGATACACAAACCCCTGTTTGGAACGCCCTCCAGACAGGAAGGGAAGTAAGCCTTGTTTTCTGGGCTTGTCTGGAGCCCTGCCTGCGGGGAGCCCATGGAGTTTGTCTTTTGCTCCCCCAACCTTCCTCGGGGTCCACGTTCATATTTGGTCCTTGGGTTTGTGCCCCTGCCACAGGAGGCTGTCTGTTCTCTGATGCTAGGCACGGCCTTGGCCAGTCTCTTTCCTTAGGGGACTCTCATCTCTCATGGCCTTGCTCTTGTGGGGGGTTTCTTTAACCCAGGGCCCTGGATACAGGCTAGTGATAATTTTTGGAATGGGGTGTAACCCAAAGATATTTTTCCCTGAGACCCTGAGACCCAAACCTCCAGTTCCAAACATCGCCAGATTGCAGAGTTGGCTCTTGGCTGGGCTGGGTGGTCACAGGCCCCAGCAAGAGCAGACCAGGAGGGGCTGTGAGGCCACTGGAGAAGCCGGGGTCTTTGGATTGAGCAAGCTGGAGACAGCATGGACAGGGCTCCAAAGGCCGGCTGGTAATTTGCAGCCAACTTTAGACTCCAGATTCTGAAGGCAGAGGGCAAGTGTCCTCCCTGGGGTGGCTCTGTAGGAGAACCTGAGGGGCAGGCTTCCCCCTCACCTTCCCCAAATGGGCCTAAGATCTGGGGGTATTCACACAGCCCCTCTGAGTGGCTTCATTGCCAGGTTGGTATTTGAGATTGAAAAGGGAGATGTGAGACTGGGTGACCTGAAGGGCAAAAGGGGTCAGTCCAAGGGAGTACCAGTTGGTTTGATGTGTCTCTCCCTCTTTAAAAGCTCTCTGGCCAAGGGCTAAAGGCTAGGGAGATGGTTTAAAGGGCTGGTGTGCAGGGCCCCCCACATTGACTCCTGCACCTCATGGTGCCCCCCCACCCCCTAGCCCCAGAGCCATTGGGAAGGATGAACCCCCATTCACCCTCCACTGTCCAGCACTGAGCAGGGATTAGCCCTGACTATACCACCAGATGTGCTTCCCTGAACCAAAAGCAACAGCAATTCAGAGCAGATCCTTCCCTCTTAAATACTTTTTCTTTTTGGACGTCCTGAGGAAGTGGGCAACCCTCTAGGCCAGACTGGTCTCCTGAAGGGACTGGGATGCTTGGGACACTCATCCCTCACTGGAGTGTTCTCTTCCCTGGCCTTCCAAGGTCCTTCTTGGGCCTGGAGAGAGCCAGGTTTGGCCCACAGGTGGGGCAGCAGGGAGGGTGCCAATCCTCCTGCCAGTCTCCCTGGTCAGGCACACCCAGGCCCCCAGCCTAGCTCAGCCCCCTCCCTCCACCCAGAGAGAGAGAAGCCAATCTGGGGGCCAGGGGTGGGGGATTGCGAGGGGAGTCTGGCCCGGTGGATGCCCCGGGAATGCAGTAATCTATGCTAATTCATGCACCCGGACTGACGAGCTAGGAAGGGTTGAGCCGCTAGGCCGCCCTGCATGCTGGGGAATTAACTAGCAGAGTAACTCATTAACCAGATAGGCAGGGAAAGCAGCCTGGCCCCTGGGCACCCTGGTCCCAACTCAGACCTCCAGCCACCTCCTTCCCCCACTTCTTGGACCATGAGGCTGCCACTCATTTACTTAGTGGCCTTGGGCCCCGGCAGAACGCGGCCCTTCTTTGTTCCTGAGCTGCCCTGGAAGGCTGGTGTTCAGTGACGTACCCGACGGGTACTATGTAAGGAGGGAGTAAGGAGATGATTTGTGGGTTCCACCTTAGAGCCGGAACCCCCACACCCCGCCCCAGGAGCTAAGCAGCTGTGGGTGGTGCTATATAGATGCCAGAACTGCTGGACTGAGGGAACCTCTAAACTCCGATGGCGAGGAGATCTTGGGTGACACTGCAAATCTCTCCCGACCTCCATCTTAGAGTCAGTAAATCTGCCCAGTGCTGCCCGGAGGCCGATGAGGGCAGGAGTCGGCCGGTGGGAAGGCTGAACCTTCCATTTCCTGACTGTGGTGGTGCTGAGCCTCTGTATGCCTTTCCCCAGACAGGCTATGGACAGAGAGGGCAGGTTTTACCATGTATACATTAAAGCCTATAAAACTTGCCCCTCTTAAAAAAAAAAAAAAAACTTGCTCCTCTTTAAAAAAAAAAAATCAGACCTGGGTGACTTGGGTCAAGTTCCCCTACTTTCCTGTGCCTCTGTTTTGTCTTCTGTAAAATGGAGATCAGGAATAGTCACTCAGTCCTTTTTGTTCAAAAAGCTTAAGTCCAGCCAAGCGCTCAGTGTCCAGAACATCTTGAGCTACAGGAAAAGTCACCTCTTGTCCACCAGGCTGCTGCTGTTACCACCTTCCCGACGCTGGCGCTGTGTGCGGGACCAAACAATAAATTGTGCAAATACTCAGTTATTGTCAGTCTTACACTCCTGCTAGGAACAAGCGCCATCCCTGTTGCCCCTAACTTCCCAGGGGAGATGTTGGGATCAGAAACCAAGGAGAGGAAGGCACCAAATGGAAGATATTGGGGGGAGGGGCGGTACCCGGCTGTTCATTCACACGACCCCATTCCTTTGGAAAAGCAAACAGCAGTGCCTTCTTATTACTGGCTCCCCACAGGCCTCTGCGGAAACTGGGGGGGGGGGTCCCTCCTACGCCTCGGTGGAAAGGAAACATCCGTTATCTTCGGAGTCGTTAGGAGGAGAAAGTCCTGAGCGTCCCAGCCCGACCGTGGTTAACTATTAGTCAGGCTTAGGCCAGGGGCTGGTGAGGTCTTGCCCATCCTCGGGCCATATCCAGGTCGCGGCGGGTGTCGGATCTTTCCTGCGAGCGGGGCCGGGAGCGGGTGCGGTGCGCCTGCCGGGCGAAAAGTGCGGACGTCGGGGAAAGAGAAGCCCCAACGCGGGTCCCGGGCTTGGGGCTGGGTGAAGCCCAGGGGAACGGGGAAAGAATTCCTCCAACCCACCGAGATGCCCCGTGACGGGCGTCTGGGAAGGCGGAGGTCGGCGGTGAGGGCCTGGGAGCAGTGTAGGAAAGAACTACCTTTCAGACTCAGTTCAAATGTTGTCCTGATGGAAAACCCCCTTTTGGCCCCGTCCGCAGAGGCGGCCGGCGGCGGCCCGGACCCCGATCGGCGAGCGCGCAGCGGCGCCTAGTGGCGAGGGCCGGGCCAGGCGGCCTCTCCGCCGAGTCCCCGATCCCCGAGCGCCCGGGGAGAGTTGGGGTGGCGCCTCCCGGCCGAAAGATCTCGGCGGGACCGTGATGGGGCCGGGAGAAGAAGTGTCGGGAAGGAGAGGACCACGGGGAAGCGCGCGCCCCTTCTCCGTCGACTCCGGCTCTGCGCTCCAGCCAG